TTCCCCTAAGTAACTATTTAGTGATCTGAATACTGAGAAAAGCATGTAGGTTGTTGTATGTTTACTTACACTCCTTTACTGCTAATTTTGTTCTGAATACAGAGACAAGCATGTAAGTGTCAACAAAAAACAAAAAACTCGCGGCTGACAAGTAAACGGAGCATGCTAAGTGTAGAGGGGGGGGGGGGGGGGGTGGAGGCAGGAGCGGTTATGGAGTGGGGTATTGCAGTCATGTACCCAGTCACGCGCCGGGCATCAGAGAGGTCGCACCGCTCTTAACTGCTCTCCCGCCATGTGATCCCTATGCGCCTCATGGCCCTGTTTACATCCTTTTACTACTACTAATTTTGTTCTGAATACAGAGATATTTGACATGAATACAGACACATATATAATGTGTTTAGCGAAATTAAAAGATCTCTACCACGGGGTATAGTCATTATTTGATATGAATACAGTGACATATATATAATGTGTTAACTATTTTAAGCCTCGTTTATGAAGGAGTGGGGAATTGCCAATTAATTGATAACTGTCACCTGTATGGGAGGGGGTGAAGGGGAAGGAGAGTGTGCGACACACGACACCACCTAAACGCGAACACAGGCCACTCCTGCATGGGTCATCAAAGACCACACACCAGTCCTAAGTGCTTTCCCACCATGTGGTGAATGCCTCATGACTACGTGCTGCTGCTGTTGCTTCTGCTGCCACTATGTGGCGGTGAGAGCTGTCATTCAAAGCAGTAAAGTCTAAGGCTTCAAAGAGGTGAGTAGGACAAGCGCTCGCTCACACACACAAACACATCCAAGTGCCCATGTGGGCTATGTGATCATGTGGGCATGTGGTCATGTGATGGTGCTGGGCATGTACAGCTCTGCAAGCAAGGTAGAGGTTGACCCTCCTCCCCTCTTTACAAAAACAATTACGTGTCATTGACACACTCCATTTCCTGCTGAGACGCCCTACCGTGAGCACAGTCCTGTCTGACGTGAAAACTAATCGCCGACATCGGAGACCTAGCTACGCCTGAAACAGAATTAGGTGAGAAAGATATACGCTTTTCTTACATAAAAATAGACATTTTGTTAAAAAAAAAAAGAGAGAATGAGACCCTCGCTATCAGTCAAAACTACCACCCACTCCCCTCCCTTCCCCTCTCTCCTTAACCTCCTTGACGTGCCCTACCCCTAACCACCCATCTTTAAAACTCGGTCTCCTACCCCCAACACAGCCATGGGAAGGGGGTTGCCCTCTATGCCGCTCAACGTATCCTTCCTATATACTTTTATTTAACTATATATCTACACACGATTAACTCTACGGCACATATTCCTACATATTTATCTACTACTACTACTATTGATCACCTGTTCACATGTTCCTATACTTACACTTTTACCCCCCACAACTCTCTAACCCACACGATACAACGACCCCGCGTCTCCAGATACCCCTACACCTCCCACAATCACACCGCACGACAACGCACGCACACCCCCGGGGTCCCCCCGGAACCCTTTGAGACTACGGACGTTTGCAACACCACTATACTGTGCCGTGGTGTATGCCACGGTACTGTACTGTGTCGTGGTGTATGGTACGGTTCTACACTGTGTCGTGGTGTATGGTACGGTACTACACTGTGTCGTGGTGTATGGTACGGTACTACACTGTGTCGTGGTGTATGGTACGGTACTACACTGTGTCGTGGTGTATGGTACGGTATTACACTGTGTCGTGGTGTATGGTACAGTACTACACTGTGTCGTGGTGTATGGTACAGTACTACACTGTGTCGGGGTGTATGGTACGGTACTACACTGTGTCGTGGTGTATGGTACGGTACTACACTGTGCCGTGGTGTATGGTACAGTACTACACTGTGTCGGGGTGTATGGTACGGTACTATACTATACAGTTACTCAACATAGCAAAGCCAGAGAGAGGGACGAGTATCAATAACGGGAAGAAGAACAGTTTCGAAGTATTCCATGTAGAGATTGGCAAGAACAGGGTGAGAGAGGGGAACCCATAGCGACACCAAAAGTTTGAGAGAAGTATTAACCGGTGAAAAAGGAGGAGTCAGCGTCAACACAGAGTCTGATGAGTTCGAGGAAAACGTCAGTGGGAAGCGGGAAAGGAAGAAGGTCCTTAGTCTCCTTCAAAGAAGAAAGAGAGAACGTCATCGAGCGGAACATTAGTGAACAGAGAGTCGACATCAAGACTAAGCATCTTACAAGAGGGCTGTAGGCGCAGTCTTTCTTTTAAGTTCTGAGATTGACGAAGGTTGAAGGAAGTTTTAAGGTGAATCCAAAGGGGTCAGAAATCAGAGGGGCATATGTGCGGGAGTCAGAGAGCAAGACATCTGCTTTCTGGAGGTAGTCCTCACGGTCAAGGACAACCACCGAACTGCCTTTGTAGGAAGGAAGGATTAGAAGAAGAGCTGTTAGATTTCAGGGAGGCAAGGGCAAGCTGGAAGCGACGAGGAAGGTGGTGATTTTTAGAAAACAAGTTGTTAAGAACGGGGATAATGGACCCCCTACAGACAGACAGGTCCGAAAAAGTACTAGAGTTAGAATTGACAAACCTGTCAAAGGAACTAATGAGGTCAATGCCACAGCGTGGGCCAGGGGAAGAAGCAAAAGAAAGACCAAGGCCAAGAGGTTCTTGCTGGTGCTTAGAAAGAGGGTAGGATGAAAGGTTGGTAACACAGTCAGAGAGAGAGTATTTGGCCCAAGGACTGTTGGAGATCAGGCGTTGAAGTTTGTTGTGTAGTGCGGAGGAGTGGTGGGAAGAGGAGACGTGAGCAGTGTCAAATGCAATGGGAAATAGGATATTGCATAGATAAGTGGGAAGAGAAGAAGACAGAAAGCGTAGATGTTGACGAACTGTTAGAAAAGCATCGTCAACATGCAAGGAGGTGGCACGAATAAGTTCTTGAAGGTGGGCATGTTAAAGAAAAGGAGATCCCGAAGTGTTAAACTGGAGAACGTGAGATATAGAAAAAGGGAGAACTTGCTCAGCAAGGCAGTCTTTAAGAAACTTGAACTGGTTCTTTCGACGCTTGGCGGTAAAAAGGGAATACTGGAAGGTGCGAAAAGGCTGTTTAAAGGAAGGTAGAACATCGAAGAAATTAAACAGAGTAAGACGCTTACGTGTGGCATCCATATGCAGGCGATGAGTCACAATAACGTGGCTGAAAAATACTAGAAATTGAAGAGACGCCGACGTTTCGGTCCGTCCTGGACCATTATCAAGTCGACTGTGATGAGACGAAGGAGGCACGGGCATATGTAGGGCAAGATAGGTGAGGAGATGGAAATCTTAGAGGAAGATAAGAGCAAGGCAAAAGGCACGGAAGGTAAGGTGTAATAAAGGCTGTAATAATAGGAGTAGGAATGGGAACGTGAGAGAAACACGTTAAAGAAAAAGAAAAAAGAAAAAAATAAAGGTCTGTATCATTTGTTTCCTGACTGTTTTTAGAGGAGCCCGCACCCGGTGGGCCGGACCTGGTGGCCCGCACCTGGTGGCCCGCACCTGGTGGCCCGCACCTGGTGGCCCGCACCTGGTGGCCCGCACCCGGTGGCCCGCACCCGGTGGCCCGCACCCGGTGGCGCTGGCTGAGCTTCCTGCCTCTGTCTCCATTGGCGGAACATCTCTGTTCATCCCCGCGATCATCTAGCTATGTCAGAGAACACAAGTATTCAGTTGTCTGTTCTGCAGGACACCAGAATTACACTTGAATATCCCGGAGGACATCAGCCAATACTTCTAATGACAACTGTAATATTGAATTAAAATTTTTTGCGGATGAATGTGAAATATTTGGGTTAGGAGATGTCTTGTGTAACGTGTCCCAAACACTGGTACTGGCTGTAATACTCCCAAACACAGGTACTCACTGTAATACTCCCAAACACTGGTACTCACTGTAATAGTCCCAAACACTGGTACTCACTGTAATAGTCCCAAACACAGGTACTCACTGTAATACTCCCAAACACTGGTACTCACTGTAATACTCCCAAACACTGGTACTCACTGTAATAGTCCCAAACACAGGTACTCACTGTAATACTCCCAAACACAGGTACTCACTGTAATACTCCCAAACACAGGTACTCACTGTAATACTCCCAAACACAGGTACTCAATGTAATACTCCCAAACACAGGTACTCACTGTAATACTCCCAAACACAGGTACTCACTGTAATACTCCCAAACACAGGTACTCACTGTAATACTCCCAAACACAGGTACTCACTGTAATACTCCCAAACACAGGTACTCACTGTAATACTCCCAAACACAGGTACTCACTGTAATACTCCCAAACACAGGTACACACTGTAATACTCCCAAACACAGGTACTCACTGTAATACTCCCAAACACAGGTACTCACTGTAATACTCCCAAACACAGGTACTCACTGTAATACTCCCAAACACAGGTACTCACTGTAATACTCCCAAACACAGGTACTCACTGTTATACTCCCAAACACAGGTACTCACTGTAATACTCCCAAACACAGATACTCACTGTAATACTCCCAAACACAGGTACTCACTTTAATACCCCCAAACACAGGTACTCACTGTAATACTCCCAAACACAGGTACTCACTGTAATACTCCCAAACCGCAGACTCTCCCCAGTCCACCAGATGAATCAGGACCAACATTAAGGTGAATAAAATTCCGCAATGAAGAGGAAAGCACTCCCCCACTAAGGACACAGGAAACCTCCCCCATGGAAGGTAACGACCCGGCCCCATTATAGATGAACAAGGGCACCCCGCCAGCTAAGGTAAAATAAAGACTCACATTTTTGGACCAACATGGAATAGGTCACTGATGCATATTTTATTATTAGAGTGAGTCGAGCGGCACCCGTCCTTGGCTTTATGGCAACCCAAGCCCACGTTGCCACTGTGGGAGGAACTAGTGGACACACTGCCACTATGGGAGGAACTAGTGGACACACTGTCACTATGGGAGGAACTGGTGGACACGAACTAGCACCACAAGACGAACCAGAGGACACGAACTACCACCACAAGACGAACCAGAGAACACGAACTACCACCACAACAAGAACCAGAGAACACGAACTACCACCACAACAAGAACCAGAGAACACGAACTACCACCACAAGACGAACCAGAGGAAACGAACTACCACCACAACAAAAACCAGAGGACACGAACTACCACCACAACAAAAACCAGAGAACACGAACTACCACCACAACAAGAACCAGAGAACACGAACTACCACCACAAGACGAACCAGAGGACACGAACTACCACCACAACAAAAACCAGAGGACACGAACTACCACCACAAGACGAACCAGAAAACACGAACTACCACCACAAGACGAACCAGAGAACACAAACTACTACCACAAGACGAACCAGAGAACACGAACTACTACCACAAGACGAACCAGAGAACACGAACTACCACCACAAGACGAACCAGAGAACACGAACTACCACCACAAGACGAACCAGAGAACACGAACTACCACCACAACAAGAACCAGAGAACACGAACTACCACCACAACAAGAACCAGAGAACACGAACTACCACCACAACAAGAACCAGAGAACACGAACTACCACCACAAGACGAATCAGAGAACACGAACTACCACCACAACAAGAACCAGAGAACACGAACTACCATCACAAGAAGAACCAGAGAACACGAACTACCACCACAACAAGAACCAGAGAACACGAACTACCACCACAACAAGAACCAGAGAACACGAACTTCCACCACAACAAGAACCAGAGAACACGAACTACCACCACAAGACGAACCAGCGAACACGAACTACCACCACAACAAGAACCAGAGAACACGAACTACCACCACAACAAGAACCAGAGAACACGAACTACCACCACAACAAGAACCAGAGAACACGAACTACCACCACAACAAGAACCAGAGAACACGAACTACCACCACAACAAGAACCAGAGAACACGAACTACCACCACAACAAGAACCAGAGAACACGAACTACCACCACAAGACGAACCTGAGGACACGAACTACCACCACAAGATGATTGATATGGGTGTTTTATCAGCAGGGACAAAGAGAATACTTAAACATCTAATGAAGATCTCACCGACCTAACAAATTCACAAAGACCTGAAAGTTGTATCATTAAATATTTTGATAGATATCGTGAGAAGACATTCACATATGGAACTAATAGAACAAGAACCCGGCAATGTGACTTTATAGTGGCCAGAATACGCCTGGGATATAGACGTATCTGGCAGCTTTCTCAAAACCCAAATGTCGAGTACACAATGTGTCAACTTTGTGAAAGTGTACAATACACCATGTGTCAGCTTTGTGAAAGTGTACAATACACCATGTGTCAGCTTTGTGAAAGTGTGCAATACTCCATGTGTCAACTTTGTGAAAGTGTACAATACACTATGTGTCAACTTTGTGAAAAAGAAAACATGCACTACCTTGAACATTATATTGTAGAATGTCCCATATTGACTGACTTTCGCCCTCCTGGGCTGAGGTATGCTGAACTGTGTACCTACTATATGAATACTGGAACATTTGATGATATATTAGACTTGTACCCAAGATTGACTATGTAATACATCTGTTATACAATGTATTATACCATTACAATATATCTGTAATCTTCATCTGTAATCTGTTCTACAATGTACCTATAACCTGGGCTTGTAAAAGCATCTTAATCACCTTCAGTGGTTAAGTGTTTAATATCACACTAGTTTCTATAGAAGCTATCTTACCCTGTTAAAGTAGGAGAGACATAGGTGTATGTATATACATATAGATAAGTGTTGGTATATGTGTATACATGTATGTGAATGTGTGTGTTATTTGTATACAGGGTATTTGGAAGCTGGTCAGAAGTGCATTTCACCTTTGTAAACGCACATTAATGATGCTATGTAAAAAGACACATCGACCACTGTTTATGTATTACAGACGTGTATCTGTATATTTATGTCTGTAGGTTAGCTTAGCATTTTAAAAGCACTACAATCACCTTCTGTAGTTGATTGTTCAATAAATCCCTGAACTATATGTTTAACAGATCTCTCACCCTGTACATGGAGGACAGAAGGAAATGTATATATGCTGGCTAGGCCACGTCTGAGATGGAAAAAAAACAAGAAAAAGACGAACCAGATGACACGAACTACCACCACACGAAGAACCAGAGGACACGAACTACGACCACAAGAAGAACCAGAGGACACGAACTACCACCACAAGAAGAACCAGAGGACACGAACTACCACCACAAGACGAACCAGAGAACACGAACTACCACCACAAGAAGAACCAGAGAACACGAACTACCACCACAAGAAGAACCAGAGAACACGAACTACCACCACAAGAAGAACCAGAGGACACGAACTACCACCACAAGACGAACCAGAGGACACGAACTACCACCACAAGAAGAACCAGAGAACACGAACTACCACCACAAGACGAACCAGAGGACACGAACTACCACCACAAGAAGAACAAGAGAACACGAACTACCACCACAAGACGAACCAGAGAACACGAACTACCACCACAAGACAAACCAGAGAACACGAACTACCACCACAACAAGAACCAGAGAACACGAACTACCACCACAACAAGAACCAGAGAACACGAACTACCATCACAACAAGAACCAGAAAACACGAACTACCACCACAACAAGAACCAGAGAACACGAACTACCACCACAACAAGAACCAGAGAACACAAACTACCACCACAACAAGAACCAGAGGCCACGAACTACCACCACAAGATGATTGATATAGGTGTTTTATAAGCAGTGACAAAGAGAATACTTAAACAAATATCTAATGAAGATCTCACCGACCTAACAAATTCACAAAGACCTGAAACTTGTAGCATTAAATATTATGATAAATATGATGAGGAGACATTCACATATGGGACTAATAGAACAAGAACCCGGCAATGTGATGTTATAGTGGCCAGAATACGCCTGGGATATAGACGTATCTGGCAGCTTTCACAAAACCCCAAATGTCGAGTAAACCATGTGTCAATTTTGTGAAAGTGTACAATACACCATGTGTCAACTTTGTAAAAGTGTACAATACACCATGTGTCAACTTTGTGAAAGTGTACAATACACCATGCGTCAACTTTGTGAAAGTGTGCAATACACCATGTGTCAACTTTGTGAAAGTGTAGAATATACCATGTGTCAACTTTTTGAAAGAGAAAACATGCACTCCCTTGAACATTATATTGTAGAATGTCCCATATTGACTGACTTTCACTCTCCTGGGCTGAGGTATGCTGAACTTTGTAACTACTATATAAATACTGGAACACTTGATGATATATTGAACTTGTATCCAAGATTAACTATGTAATACTTTTGTTATACAATGTATTATACCAGTACAATATATCTGTAATCTGTTATACAATGAACCTATAACCTGGGCTTGTAAACGCATCTTAATCACCTTCAGTGGTTCAGTGTTTAATATCACACTAGTTTCTATAGAAGCTATCTTACCCTGTTAAAGTAGGAGAGACATAGGTGAATGTTTATACATATAGATAAGTGTTGATATATGTATGTGCGTGTGTGTTATTTGTATACAGGGTATGTGGAAGCTGGTCAGAAGTGCATTTCACCTTTGTAAACGCACATTAATGACGCTATGTAAAAAGACACATCGACCACTGTTTATGTATTACAGACGTGTATCTGTATATTTATGTCTGTAGGTTAGCTTAGCATTTTAAAAGCACTACAATCACCTTCTGTAGTTGATTGTTCAATAAATCCCTGAAAGAGAGATCTGTTTAACAGATCTCTCACCCTGTACATGGAAGACAGAAGGAAATGTATATATGCTGGCTAGGCCACGTCTGAGATGGAAAAAAAAAAACAAGAAAAAGACGAACCAGATGACACGAACTACCACCACACGAAGAACCAGAGGACACGAACTACGACCACAAGAAGAACCAGAGGACACGAACTACCACCACAAGAAGAACCAGAGGACACGAACTACCACCACAAGACGAACCAGAGAACACGAACTACCACCACAAGAAGAACCAGAGAACACGAACTACCACCACAAGAAGAACCAGAGGACACGAACTACCACCACAAGAAGAACCAGAGGACACGAACTACCACCACAAGACGAACCAGAGGACACGAACTACCACCACAAGAAGAACCAGATAACACGAACTACCACCACAAGACGAACCAGAGGACACGAACTACCACCACAAGAAGAACAAGAGAACACGAACTACCACCACAAGACGAACCAGAGAACACGAACTACCACCACAAGACAAACCAGAGAACACGAACTACCACCACAACAAGAACCAGAGAACACGAACTACCACCACAACAAGAACCAGAGAACACGAACTACCACCACAACAAGAACCAGAAAACACGAACTACCACCACAACAAGAACCAGAGAACACGAACTACCACCACAACAAGAACCAGAGAACACAAACTACCACCACAACAAGAACCAGAGGCCACGAACTACCACCACAAGATGATTGATATAGGTGTTTTATAAGCAGTGACAAAGAGAATACTTAAACAAATATCTAATGAAGATCTCACCGACCTAACAAATTCACAAAGACCTGAAACTTGTAGCATTAAATATTATGATAAATATGATGAGGAGACATTCACATATGGGACTAATAGAACAAGAACCCGGCAATGTGATGTTATAGTGGCCAGAATACGCCTGGGATATAGACGTATCTGGCAGCTTTCACAAAACCCCTAATGTCGAGTAAACCATGTGTCAATTTTGTGAAAGTGTACAATACACCATGTGTCAACTTTGTGAAAGTGTACAATACACCATGTGTCAACTTTGTGAAAGTGTACAATACACCATGTGTCAACTTTGTGAAAGTGTGCAATACACCATGTGTCAACTTTGTGAAAGTGTAGAATATACCATGTGTCAACTTTTTGAAAGAGAAAACATGCACTCCCTTGAACATTATATTGTAGAATGTCCCATATTGACTGACTTTCACTCTCCTGGGCTGAGGTATGCTGAACTTTGTAACTACTATATAAATACTGGAACACTTGATGATATATTGAACTTGTATCCAAGATTAACTATGTAATACTTTTGTTATACAATGTATTATACCAGTACAATATATCTGTAATCTGTTATACAATGAACCTATAACCTGGGCTTGTAAACGCATCTTAATCACCTTCAGTGGTTCAGTGTTTAATATCACACTAGTTTCTATAGAAGCTATCTTACCCTGTTAAAGTAGGAGAGACATAGGTGAATGTATATACATATAGATAAGTGTTGATATATGTATGTGCGTGTGTGTTATTTGTATACAGGGTATGTGGAAGCTGGTCAGAAGTGCATTTCACCTTTGTAAACGCACATTAATGACGCTATGTAAAAAGACACATCGACCACTGTTTATGTATTACAGACGTGTATCTGTATATTTATGTCTGTAGGTTAGCTTAGCATTTTAAAAGCACTACAATCACCTTCTGTAGTTGATTGTTCAATAAATCCCTGAACTATATGTTTAACAGATCTCTCACCCTGTATATGGAGGACAGAAGGAAATGTATATATGCTGGCTAGGCCACGTCTGAGATGGAAAAAAAACAAGAAAAAGACGAACCAGATGACACGAACTACCACCACACGAAGAACCAGAGGACACGAACTACGACCACAAGAAGAACCAGAGGACATGAACTACCACCACAAGAAGAACCAGAGGACACGAACTACCACCACAAGAAGAACCAGAGGACACGAACTACCACCACAAGAAGAACCAGAGGACACGAACTACCACCACAAGACGAACCAGAAAACACGAACTACCACCACAAGACGAACCAGATGAGAATTGTATTTCTTAAGAGTTGTGAACGTGTGGGGACGAACTTCAGAATTAAGTAATGTATGATGAATAATAATGATGATACTCAACAAGGTGCCGTGAAGACCACACATATATGAGTCACATATATAATGTATTAGTGAACGACACAGTGTAAGGAGGAGAAAAATAAGGATGGTGTACTTACCTCTTGTGTTGAGTATTGCAAGGCACTGCTTGTGAGACTTGGCGAGGCAGAATCGACTGATATGAATTAATGATATGCGTTTGTCGTTAGGTTTGTGACAGGTAGTTTTATCCCAGGGTCACTAGCGTTGTGGACCGCGTTGGATATGGGTGGTTATGCACGAGCATCACTGTAGGTGGCGTTGTCCTTGGTGGACGAGGGCGGGCGGCGTTGGGCCGACGTGTACTGTGCCTGCGTGGGCCAGCGGGAGGCAGCGGAGGCGCGCGTCTAGCCACTCTGACGGTCTCAGCAACACTGACTTCTGCTTAGCTGGTCCTGCCAAGCGTTGCCCGATCTATTTTGTTTTTTCCCCGTGATGCTCTTAAGTAAAAAAAATATATTTATGTTCTGTTCAAGTTTTTAGATGACGATTGGTTAGTCCATGTCCCAGTTGGTACACGGAGAGTGTTGGCGGCCCCTCCAGACGCCCCACGTGAATCACAGCTCCCTCACTCTCGAACTCTTCACATCCTTCACCTATATAACCCGCCTGTCCTATCCACCCTTCAACACGTCACTAAAATGATGTGCTAAATTCCCCGAGCCTAACCTATCCAAGCACCCACGAGTAGAAAACAAAACATCACGTCAATTTTGCTAACAATGATCAATAATTGACAACATCACGTCAATGATTTTGCGACACTGACGTTGGGGACTATTTCGTCAAAATACGATGTATTATGCTAGATGACAGTTTGATATAACAGCTGGCGCCTTCACCCCCGTGCTCAAACAACGTCACTTGAACAAATCCACAATGACCGTGACGAGGATTCGAACCTACGTAGGTTCGAATCCTCGTCACGGCCCTTGTGGATTTGCTCATTGATGCATCACGTTATTGTGACTTCTGTGTGTAACGTCATTTGGCTTATGTGATGGTAAGCCACAATACTTGGTATTCCTAAACCAAAGCCGTCTAAAATGACAGCACCTTCATCTGGTCAGGATGGAACACATCACTCGACTCCTGCAGTGAGGGCGAGGCTCGCAGTCCTGAACGTTTGTACACATTTTACGCGGCTACTTTCTCAGCAAAATGATACAAGGAGCTTTAAGGAAGATTTACTCTATTACTTTTTATACATATGTCGAGCCACTTCCTGCTGTAATGATTATCCTTCCTGGTACATGGCTGACACTGTAGCTCCAGGTAGTACTGGGGACCACCTTCCTGGTACATGACTGACACTGTAGCTCCAGGTAGTACTGGGGACCACCTCCCTGGTACATGACTGACACTGTAGCTCCAGGTAGTACTGGGGACCACCTCCCTGGTACATGACTGACACTGTAGCTCCAGGTAGTACTGGACATGAATATTTGTGACGCAATTAGGTAAGCGGGCGCTAACAAGGACACGAACACGTCACGTGGGCGTCAAGTGCACGAACTCGTCACGTGGGCGTCAAGTACACGAACACGACACGTGGGCGTCAAGTACACGAACACGACACGTGGGCGTCAAGTACACGAACACGTCACGTGGGCGTCAAATACACGAACACGTCACTCGTGCCCTGCACATGCAAGAAGGTTCAAAGGCTCGTCTTAAAACGCCTGTTACATAAGATAGGTAAAATAGGGGAAGTGGTCCACGTATTTTTTAAAAGGACAGAGCAGAGTCAATTAGATAGTTATTTATTTAGCTAATGACTCGGTTAATTACGCTGTATTTGTTGACATCAATGGAGCCTTCGACAAAGCACAGGGGATTGTGATCCTGGACGAGCTTGCATGCATGGGTGTCAAGGGGAGACTATTGCAGTGGATTGAAGACTACCTTACAGGGAGGAAAGCCAAGGTCTGCTTCAACGGATCCACCCCGAGAACAGTGAATATGGACCTTGGGACGCCCCCCAGAGGTGGAGCTTGGGACCACCCCAGAGGTGGAGCTTGGGACCCCCAAGGAGGTAGAGCTTGGGACCACCCCAGAGGTGGAGCTTGGGACCACCCCAGAGGTGGAGCTTGGGACCCACCCCCTTCCAAGGAGGTGGAGCTTGGGACCCCGCAAGGAGGTGGAGCTTGGGACCCCCGCCAAGGAGGTGGCGCTTGGGACCCCCCAAGGAGGTGGAGCTTGGGACCCCCCCAAGGAGGTGGAGCTTGGGACCCCTCCAAGGAGGTGGAGCTTGGGACCCCCCAAGGAGGTGGAACTTGGGACCCCCCCAAGGATGTGGAGCTTGGGACCCCCCCCAAGGAGGTGGAGCTTGGGACCCCCCAAGGAGGTGGAGCTTGGGACCCCCCCAAGGAGGTGGAGCTTGGGACCCGCCCAAGGATGTGGAGCTTGGGACCCCCTCCAAGGATGTGGAGCTTGGGACCCCCCCAAGGAGGTGGAGCTTGGGACCCCCCCAAGGATGTGGAACTTGGGACCCCCCAAGGAGGTGGAGCTTGGGACCCCCCCAAGGAGGTGGAGCTTGGGACCCCCCAAGGAGGTGGAGCTTGGGACCCCCCAAGGAGGTGGAGCTTGGGACCCCCCCAAGGAGGTGGAGCTTGGGACCCCCCAAGGAGGTGGAGCTTGGGACCCCCCCCAAGGAGGTGGAGCTTGGGACCCCCCCAAGGAGGTGGAGCTTGGGACCCCCCAAGGAGGTGGAGCTTGGGACCCCCCCAAGGAGGTGGAGCTTGGGACCCCCCCAAGGAGGAGGAGCTTGGGACCCCCCCAAGGAGGTGGAACTTGGGACCCCCCCAAGGATGTGGAGCTTGGGACCCCCCCCCCAAGGAGGTGGAGCTTGGGACCCCCGCCAAGGAGGTGGCGCTTGGGACCCCCCAAGGAGGTGGAGCTTGGGACCCCCCCAAGGAGGTGGAGCTTGGGACCCCTCCAAGGAGGTGGAGCTTGGGACCCCCCCAAGGAGGTGGAACTTGGGACCCCCCCAAGGATGTGGAGCTTGGGACCCCCCCAAGGAGGTGGAACTTGGGACCCCCCCAAGGATGTGGAGCTTGGGACCCCCCCAAGGAGGTGGAGCTTGGGACCACCCCAGAGGTGGAGCTTGGGACCACCCCAGAGGTGGAGCTTGGGACCCACCCCCCCCAAGGAGGAAGAGCTTGGGACCCAATAAGGAGGAGGAGCTTGGGACCCCCCCAAGGAGGAAGAGCTTGGGACCCCCCAAGGAGGTGGAGCTTGGGACCCCCCCAAGGAGGAGGAGCTTGGGACACAATAAGGAGTGTTAAGTCCCATACTATTTAACAGCTTATGAAAGCCATGGCTAATGATAAACTTCCGGAAGGAACACAACAAGTGGGACATGCAGATAATGTCCTAATACAGGACATTATCTGCATGGACTGTTTACCTTTGGAAAGGTAAACAGTCCATTCAACTCTTTGGGAAGAAGTGTTATGAACTGGGTTATATTCTCTCCACACATAAGAACATAATGCTCTCATCACAAGAGGACAGAAAACGAAGAACTGGAAAT